GCAATTTTTACACCCCCTTCCAATGATATACTACGGAGAGTCACTTGAAAACTACCCCATTTTTCCTTAACTTCAACAATCTCCTTCAATATGGAGTATAACAAAATAATAAACAATGAAATAATGAGAGCGACACTTTTCGGGTAATCGGAGACCCGGAATACGCACGACAGGTCGATTGGCGGCACAACGGGGGTGAGACACTATCCAGGGGGTGGAAGATGAAAAGGAAAGAAGAGACCTTAAGGGCGGAGGGGTCGAACTTACGGAAAGAACGCGGCCGAGACTGATTACGAATTTATAAAGAAATAGATCTCGAGACTTCGCCTCAAAGGGGGGTCGTGGGGTTAAAACCACCCTCTGCTTGGGCAAGGGGGACCCCGACGGGGGAGGGGGTAGTAAGAACCAAGTTCTGCTCCTCGAGGGGTTGATTGAAGCAGGCACGATGTTTAATTCAAAGAAACTGGAGACACGCCCCGCTAACTACCCCTGCACCCCTAGAAAGGCCCTCGTTCGAAAAACTCCCTTGCAGGTCCTAGAATCCAAAAAACTCATCGTTAGATAAATTCGATGGAGAAGCGTCCACCTAGTCGAATATTCGACGAGTTGGGCTGATAAAATTGCACCCTAAGAAACTAGATGTACAGCGAAGGTATTTTTCATGGCGCCGAGGGTTGCGCCATTGCTTGGGGAGGGTTTCCATTTTGTCCGGGTTGCAGCAATTACTGTGGTTATGCATTGCGCTGCATTGCGCATGTCGTTGGGGGGCGAAAGGGTTAAAGGAACGGACAACCCTTGCCGAAGGGAAGGTCTTGGCCAATCGCAACCCCCGGGCGAACGCAACCCCTTCGAGCGGCATTCGAGAAGCCCTCGCGTCTGCATCGTGCATATTCGATTTTATTCGTTCACCCCCCCTTCTCCAAGGATCCAGAGCACCCCTTTTGAGGGTGCAGATTTAACGCATAAATCGCAAAATCGGGGCCAGACAATGCGGGAATTATCCTCGGGTCATTTCCTCCTCCTCGAATCATTAATCGGATCTGACCGGAGATGTTAAACAAAGCTCGTGAAAGGGTCCATGGTCGAAAAAAGAAAAAAAAAAAGGAGAAAGAAAGGGGTAGAAAAACTGCGCCAGCCATGGCCAGGGTCTCGCCGAAAAGCTAGTTAGCCCGATTTGTAACCGCGCCTAGGTGGGATCGTTTTTTTCTCCGGCAGTTTTTACTCCCACCAGGTCCACCCCCTGTTTTTTTTTTCCGGGCAACCCTTTTGGATGTAAAAACCGCCGGCGTACCGGGTGTCTCTGGGCGGACCCTCGGTTGTTTCTCGGTCGCGTCTGTTTTGTGTTTGGTATTTTGCATTTTGCACCCGAGCCGCACCGTGGAACGCGACTTGGGGTTGAAAAAGCGCGGAGAGAAAGAGAGCGCGGCAAAAAAAACAGCCGAGTGGGACAATGAGCGCAGAGCAGCTGGTTAAATGCGGAAGGGTTACCGATTAGCATAAAGGGCCGTATTACATGCGCCGGAACCTCCTTCGGGGTTGCCCGAGGGTGTGTCTTCATGGTCATGCATGGGGGTTGAACCTCGACAGGGCTCGAACCTCGTTGTCTCGTTTCTCTGCAGGGGGCTCTTCGAGATGAAGACGTTCCCGTTCGTACAGGCGAGGCCTGCCGTTAATAAGTAAAATCGGTCTTAAACTTACATCAGTAGTCTTAGTTTCCCATTTCTACATTCTGCACGTCTTGAATTTGGTCTTGCATTGTTGCAATGATCTCCTTCCTCCTAGAGTCGGTTTTTATCCCCTGCAATCGGCGCAGCATCTTCATCCCTTTTTTTCACCTATTTTCAACCTCCTGCTTGTAAAAAATCACAGGGAATTATGGCAGGGTAATTTGAATGGTTGGTCGAGCACGAAAGGTGCGACAATGGGGTTGGTAACCCAAGGGGGTCACCGAAACTCGCCGATGGAGTCGTAAAATGGGCTCTCTCTCCGGGGCGCCGCAAAATGGACGCGAAAGGGGGAAACGCGCGATGCACCGGCGCCGATGCATCATTTATGTCTCGTGGGTCGCGCGCCGGTGATCCTGGAGGGTTCCACCCTGCGAGCATGTCCCAATGTCGCATCTATCGCACGTTCGAACGATCGCGAGGGCACTTAGCCGGCGAGAATGAATAAAAAAGAAGTGCAACTCACCAAGCCGGAGTCCGACCGAGCTCGTCACACAAAACGCGTTCTACACGACCCGCGGTGCTGAAAAGTTTATTTAGGGTTAAAATAAAAAAAAGAAGCATAAACATTTCCCACAAATCTCATGCACAGCATAGTTAAATTATAATAAAGGCATAAACCTGGCATCAACGTCGACTGGGGCGTCGGCCGCCATCTTGGATTGCCGAATCGAACCACCTGAAAAAAAGACATAATGATATAAGTCGCGTCAGAAATCCACGGTACCACGCGTGCCCTCCTCTTTCCCGGTCGGGAAAAGAAAAAACTACGGAACGAGATGGAAGCAACAATAAGGTGAAAGAAACCGCGAAATCGTTCAACGGCCGCTGGAAAATTGTCGCCGCGGGGCGTCATTCAAATTCTGACGGTTGACATCTCACCTTGCCCACTTGGCGCCGCGACTTGTCACTTTGTCCTTCCCCGCTCTCTCCCCTGCGATATCCCACACGTGCATTCTCTCGAAAGAGGCAGTTTTTCCAAAAAAGTCGCGGTAAATAAAAAAAACGCGCAATCGAGTCGCCGGAAGAAAGGAGCCTCGTTAAATTCGGGAGTTGCAAGAGCGCCAACCGCGATCGCGGGCCGCAGTTGGGCGCCTGGCCGCCAGAGGGTGGCAGCACTGCGCGAACGAAATATAGGCGCGCTCACCGATTGACGCGTCAATCACTCGATCGGTTCTTGCACCCAAGGGGGGAGTCCATTTTCACGTTTTTTTTTTCTTCCCTTTCGCCGGAATTTACGTACTCATTCACGCGCTGCCGCCGCCGGCTAGGGCGAAAAAACCAGAAAGCGCCCCAGAATGCACCGTGGAGCTGTTTGCTCTTTGACGTTTCGACTTCGCACTCGAGAGCGGATTTTTTGCGCCAACCGTCGCGCTTTGTTAACGTCAGAGTCGGGGCCGCTCCTTCACCCGGAATGTTCCCGAGAGATGGAAATGCCGCGCATAAAAAATGTACGTACCAACCCTCCTTTATTTAGCTCCGAATATGCAGACGCTCGTCAAATTCGATCCATTCGATCTCGCCGCGCTACTCAGAAATCAAGATGGCGGCGCGCCCGTCACGTGACCCACGTGACCAACGGTCAAACGTCGAAATATGTCGGAGCTTCGTCAAGAGAAATGAAAATTCCGTTAATTGAATACGAGATTTCGAGGTATTACATGGTGAAACGAGAACGACTACTTGTGTATTATATTTTGATTGGGGATTTTTATTCCTGAAGAAACGTGAGCAAGGTATTAAGTCTAGTCTAATTGTAGATGGAGGCCTTTTATTTCTCGCAAGAGACGCCGCTCGAGGACACGGGGGCGACTCGTTCGAGGAGTACAAGGGATGCCAAGGGAGGAGCTCGAAGGTGTGCTCGTTTCGAGTCGATCGCCCCAGGCCGTAATACATTATACCACGGACTCTTGACTTTTCCCGGCTCCTTTGGACCCTCGAGTCGCATCTCGCGCCCGGCTCCCGTAGAGGATTTCGCACGCGGCTCAAAGGCCTTTCAATTAAGTCCTAAATCGTCGGAGGAGACTCGCTTTAATTGCAAGCCACTCGAGGAGACCTCCAAAGAGCTAACTGCACCTTGAATAATTTAATCCCCGAGCGATAAGCCGATCTCAGGCCTTTAAACGCCTCCAGGCTGGCGCCTCGATTGCGTTAATTATTCACGATCCGAGATGGACCTTCCTCTCATTTATTATTTTCATTTCTATACCGGATAAGAACTCTACCTAGAATTTATTCCTCCATTAAGAATCCCGAATCAGGGAGGAAGTGACCGTGTCGCGTGGCGGGCACGCGAGAGAGAAATGTGGGAAAACATTGAAAAGGAAAGTCCATCTTTCACGAGTCGCTCGAATCGCCTCTCGTTTCGACTATTTGTAGACAGCGGAACAATGAGAAGAGTATTGAGTGCAGATAGGCCGCGATGAGGTCGACATTGTTCGCTACCCCTGCAGGTCCACCCTTATATCTTTTTTCGGCCGATCGGTAAACTGGGGGGAGAGAGAGAGAGAGAAAGAAAAAACCTGCAACTACCCCGCGGTCCTAAATCGGACGGCCGTGATCTGTATTCCCTGTTTCGCTTTTTTGGGGGACGGGGAAAAACTCAAAATCAAAGGCGGGACATCGGGGGATGAATGGAGGAGAGACTGTCGTCCTACTTGATCGATATCCCATTTTTTTTTTCCCCTCGATTGTAACCTCGTTGCGATTTATTGAACACCCGTGTTTACCATTCGGTCAATACCAGTCAATACGTTTTTATGCTCTTTGAGAATCGAGAAACAAGTGACTCGCTATAATCGATTGGCAAAGGTGTAATATAAAAAAAAATATTGTGCCGGCGGTTTAAGTGGAGATATGGAAATTTTTATCATTCCACAAATTCCGCGCAGATCGAAGATTATTTAACGTCGGGTTTCCCTGGCTATTTCCGCAGATATCCGTACCTCCACTCGAGATGGACGAGATCCGCGGAAACGCGTTAGTTTTCAGAAGTTCTGAATGCCGTAGCGAATAACAGTCTCGCCGAGTTGGGGAACGCATCGGTTTTGCATTTATAAGGCTGTCACCGTCCGCCGTCCACCCTGAAAAGGGTATTATACGTTTCAATAACGAAGTTGCATCGCGATTCATCCACCGCCTCAACCGTGTCGTTGCAGATACGCGAATGGAAAGTTCGTTCAGGGACGAGAGTGAATTCTGAAATGATTGAAAACTCTAATTTCCCCTTCCCCGTGATAGAAAAAAAAAAATTAAGGAAAAGAGGACAGAAGCGAGTACTTCCAAAATCAATTTATTCGAGAACGTAAATGCATCTTGCAATCGCTGCAGGTGAAATAATTCATAAGTTAGTCGGCGTTACCTTACGATAGTTTGGTAGTCTGACGAGAGACTAGTTATAAATAATTTATAGAAAAACTCCTGGTACATCGCACTGCGTATCTCGCTACTTATACACATAAGTCATTTTTGCAGTCGTTGGCCATGTCAGAATTCCGTCAAGACGAATAATTTAAATAATTTATTTATACGCCATTCTCCAGTTTTTGCGGATGCTGAAGATCGTTCAAGTACTCCGAATATCTCTTTTCCTGGGCCTGCTGTTGTTTCTGCAGTTTCCTTACCTGGCCTTTGCTGATCTCTTTGCCCGTAATGTCGTGCGTCGGTAAGCCCTGAAAATGAGGAATTTTAGACGTAGGAAAAAACCTGGCGTTGAGTTTAATTTTTGTTACCTTGTCGTCGAACCGGGAATATTTATCCTTCTCGAGTTTGAACATTTCACTGGGTGGTATTTTCCGCATCGCTTCTTTCGCTGCAATAGCCGAGGCTAGCTCTGCCTTCTTCCTCTCTTTCTCGGCAATTTTCGCAGCTTCCAGCTTCTTCTTGGCTTCCTTTTCTTTCAGCAGGTCTCCCTTGTTCATCAGCTTTATCCTGCAATCTTTGTCTTCCCCGTCTTCCAAACGGACGCCGACATTCGGCAAAATATCCTCCCTTAATGTATCGCACTCTTTTAAAATATTAGTCGCCTTGAGATCCCTCGCATGACTTCTGATCACCTCCCGGAAGTCCGCCAATATGTTTAAATACGGCATGATGGTCTCCTCAACCTGTTAGAAATAATACAAATTGTTTGCCGAAATTTTGGAAAACATAAATTAATTTAATCTCCGTTAAGAGCGCAACGCACGTTATTGTTAACAGCCTCGCCAATGGGGAATCCAATAGCATCGTGCGAGGAAATCGTGCCGAAAATTGTTAACATTTTTGTTATGTAAACCGCGATGTCACGCAGTAAAAGGGTGTTTGGAGTTTTGCAGTCCTTCATGTAAATGTTGGAATAGGTCACGATATCCCTAAAAGCTTCCAGAGCTGTTCTTGTATCGATATTATCTGCAACGTAGAAAAAAAATAATATGAAATCATTCCCATCTTTAAATTTTTACAACAAACAAATTATGTTTATATACATACCACACAATGCTACATGGACGGCGTCTTTCGCGGAGCAGAATTTCTTGTTCAATTCGACTTCAAGATCGCTCCATTTGCTGAATGTATTAATTGACGTGCCAGTACCTATGTTTCGAATCCTACATTTTACGTTTAAGAAGAATTCCTAGAAGAATAATTACGAAACCTAATGTAGTAAACTGATTAGTAAATTATGTATGAATGTTGTAGGAATGTTAGGATTTACATTTAGAAACTTTTCATATTGAACTGCCATTTCCATCGTGTTGTCACTATAGTCTAGCGTGTCCTTCCAAGAATGAAGAAGAAATGCCAGCCTAAGTTGTCTCGCAGTGTTTTTCTTCAGTGCTTCCTTGATCGTAACAAAATTCTTAAGGGACTTGGACATCTTGCAACCAGCTATCGTCAGATGACCTGCATGTAGGAAGTACCGAACCCAATGGGAATTATCAAAGTATGCCTCCGCCTGAGCAATCTCGTTATCGTGGTGAGGGAATTTTAGATCCACTCCACCGGTGTGAATATCAAGACTCTCCCCACAAATGGCGGAAGCCATAACGGAGCACTCTATGTGCCACCCAGGCCGACCATTACCCCATGGACTCTTCCACCATGGCTCGCCAGCTTTAGAGCTCTTCCAGAGAGCAAAGTCATTCGGTGACCTCTTTTCGGACAGTCTTTCCTGCGATATGCATAAATCTCCTAGCGAAAGAAAGCAAAGCAATGTATTTCAAGTAGAAATAATTACTTTAGTTAGATTTAATAGAAGTTCACCTTCTCCTTCCTGTAAACTGCCCGTGTCTCCGTAAGCTTCCGGCACAAGCTTGGCATAATGATGATTCTCACGCTGATCGAATCCACTGACATCAAAGTACACCGAACCATTGCTTTCGTAAGCTAGACCATTGGCTATAATTTTTTCAATATATGCAATGATCTCTGGCACGTATTCACTGACTCTCGTCAATACATTCGGCCTCATGACCTTGATTTAATGTAATATAAATTCATGCTTGGTTGTACCGTTACAAAAAAGAGGTAGTTAAGATGAAGCAGAATAGTAGAGTGCAACTGAAGCTCACGTTTAAGGCGTCCATGTCGTTGTGGTACTCCGATTCCCAAAACTGTGGTAATTTACTGAATATCGAATTCTCTGTCACCATCGCACCCTTTTCTTTATCCAACCATTCAGATAACGGATCCCTTGCTTGGAATAAAAGGTCCTGCGAGTAGTTTTAAATAAGCACATCGCAAGTAATAACAATAGGTAACAAAAATTACTACCTCATACCTCCTGGAATTCTTTGATCATTGCATTATCGTTAGCCTTGACGGCTCCCTCAAGATTTTCTACGGCGCTCTTTACTTTACTCAACAACTTCTCCAACATACTTTTTTTATCAGAGTCTGTCGTAGTTTTTACCGTATCTTGAAAAGCAGACATAACGCTTTTTGCATCCTCCAAAACCTTGTCAAGACTAAGATTCTGCTCTAAATATTTTTCATACAAATAGTTTTGTCTCGCCCTCTTTATGATCTTATCGTCGATATCTGTGATATTCATCACATACAATACATCGTACCCAAAATAGTCGTTAAGAATACGACGCAGAATGTCGAAACATATGTAAGACCTGTAATGTAAAGCATAGAAACAGGATAACCAATTTTATCATGAAATTGACGTTGTTAAATCTACCTTGCATGTCCCATATGTGTTGCATCATACACCGTAGGTCCGCAGCTGTACCACAAAATTCTATTTCCATGCTGAGGAATAAATTCTTCTTTCTGCCGGGTCAAACTATTATAGAGTTTAAGTACGGAGCCACTTTTTCGTGGCGGACTCCACGAAGGCTGTGCTCTTTTCGCCATAATCACACCTGAAACGAAGCCACGTTAACTGACCTTCGCTTAATTCAATGAAAACAATACTACATACCGAAAAATTCGCAAGTTTGAATACGTACCAAAATTATACGTTAATCCCCTCAAAGGTGCGTCGCTACCTCTTCCTACCTCCGAGGCTAGCCCGTAATTATTTAACGAATGCTTATAGTTCAAATACTCAGAAATGAATGATTAATTCTCTAAACAAGCTGAATTTTCTCTCATGTTACGATATGTGAAACGTATCAGTGACTAACGGAGTAGCCATGCCAAAGTTCGCCGCTGCCATCTAGCAGCCATGTACCGAACCTCGTCCATATTTATTATAGAACTCATTTCTGTAGATACACTCGTTATTCTGTATCAGATCGTTATCTACTATTACCTACAGAGTCAAAGACTCCATTCTTACATTCGTGAACCTAATTTGCGCAAAGAATTCAAAGATTTCCATTTACTTTCCAGTTACTCTCTGATCATCTCTGATTAAATCGAAAATTGCTTTAAGCCCTACACGCATTACTCGGCATTCATCGTTCGACGTAAAATTATCATGTTTGGGGGTCATTGGAGGGCAACGTCCGATTTGATAAAAATTGCGCGGCGTCACCATCGCTGACTCACTTTCGACCGTAAAGGCACTTTGGAGTTTGACAGCTGTCAGAGATATCCTTAATGACGTTGCAAAGAACGCAGGACTCGCGGAATTGCCTCTGTTGGAGGGGATGGTGTTTTCTCGAGTGGGCGTACCGTCAATTAGTCGTTTCCATTATGTAACGGAGGTATTCTTGCGTTTGGAATAATCACTATAAATATTTTTCTACGTAGATACTAGAAATATAGTCGAACCCGCACAGGATTTACTATGAACGAGTGTAAATCGCTTCTGACGTCTCGGAGTCCCCTAACCTCAATCGTCAACTTTCTCCAAAGGTCATAATAATGCTTTTCGGTAGGGGGAAATCGGTCTTTAGACAATTACGTTCAAGTACCCCTCACTGGACGTCGTTTGCTAATTTCGGCCTGATATCTGTTAACTTTGGGCGTGTTAAATCAGGACCTGAAGTAAGTCATCCGCAAAGCTGTCCAGGATGTACAAAGGACATTCAGTGCCGTTTGATTACTATCATTGTCAGTTGGTCTTAGCAATTCGAAGAAAGTTAACCTTTCACTGTGCCGATCTGTGCTTGTAATAGTTGGAGGGTTTATTTAAATTTTAACGATAGTCCGGCCTTGTATAAGTATCCTGATATATTTATAGAGAAGTGTTTGAACGTTATCATGTGTTGCAGGTCATGGAATACGTTAAGGAAGATTATGTGACGATTTGAGAAATTCCTCAGCTACAATGGCGTTATTGTGTCGGCATTGGAGGTTATGGATCCTGCCGGTTTTGACGTGCGTTTATGCTCTTCTCATCGTCATTCTGGTGCCCATACTTCTGGCCAATTCCATACAGCATGGCTTCAGAAAGCAAGATCAAGGTGCTTTGGTCGGAGGGGCGTTCGTCCTCCTGGCTTTACCGATCGCCTTTTATGAAATTATCCAGCACATGATACATTATACTCAACCTGGATTGCAGAAATATATCATAAGGTAACAGTGATACTTATAAGCAGCGATAACGGTGAATTTAATTTATGAAAGATTGATGCATGAATTATATTTTGCAGAATTCTATGGATGGTGCCCATCTATGCAGTTAATGCTGTGAGTATTGAACGTGTAACAATGTTAAAGAGAAATTATATCAATGGTTTAATTTTCTTCTTTTGTTTACAGTGGCTGGGTTTGGTATACCCAGCAGGTAGTATATACGTGGATAGCCTACGAGAGTGTTACGAGGCATACGTTATTTATAATTTTATGATGTATCTCTTGGCCTATTTAAACAGCGAGAGTCAGTTGGAACATAGACTGGAGTTGTCTCCCCAAATTCGTCACATGTTTCCGCTTTGTTGCTTGCCAGACTGGGAAATGGGACGAGAGTTTGTACATATGTGCAAGCATGGAATTCTGCAGTATACAGCTGTCAGACCCATATCTAGCATTATTTCCTTGTAAGTCTCACGACCTTTGTTCGGCATGCAACGTATCACAACATTGGTATAAAAAACATTTCTATTACAGCATTTGCGAAATGAATGGTGTTTATGGGGAAGGTGAATTTAGAGGGGACGTGGCATTCCCATATATGATTGCGCTGAACAATTTGTCGCAATTTGTAGCAATGTACTGCTTAGTACTTTTTTACCGAGCCAATGCCAATGCACTGCAGCCTATGAAACCAATTGGAAAATTCTTGTGCATCAAAGCAGTCGTATTCTTTTCCTTCTTGTAAGCTGCATGCTGAACTAGAATTTAAAAAAGAGCCTTTCACAGATTTGATCCAACCGATTGAAATTATTTTTCAGCCAAGGAGTGTTAATTGCTGGATTAGTGTACTTTGACGTGATCTCGAGTATCTTTGATACCGATAATACAGACGACATCAGAAATATCTCGTCCAAGTTGCAAGACTTCCTAATTTGTATAGAAATGTTCCTCGCAGCAGTGGCACATCACTACAGTTTCAGTTACAAGCCGTTTGTAAATTTAGCACAGACTCAAGCCTGGTGGGACGCATTTAGGTTAGTTGAGTAAAGTCGATAGTTGTTTGACAGAAGTGTCATAATTTTGTTATCATTCCAGAGCTATGTGGGACATTTCGGATGTACATAATGATATTAAAGAGCATCTAGGAGTGGTTGGATCCTCTCTAAGTCGCAGGATTCGTGGCCGTAGCATGTACCGTCAGACCTGGGGAAGTGCAACGGAACGTACCTCCCTGTTACCAGAAACACTTGTGGATTCGATGGCTCGCAGTGCACCAGCTGCTTCTCACAATGGATACAACACGTCCGAAGTGGGTGATAACAATAGCGACACACAAGTTGGATTTGTCGATCCAAATTCAAACTCGCAGGATAACAGCCAAGGTACAAAGACACAGCCAGAAGCCTGACTTTACGAGGCAATGAAACAAATTGGCTTAGAGATCGGCCTTTGTCAGACTCCTTCCTGTAATTTTAAGGTTGAACTTTATAATCATTTACTTTATTGCAACATTGTCAAGCAGTGATTTTACTCCATACTAAGTAATGGACACTTATAAAACTCTTCTCGAGAACTTCGACTGTGACAAATTTGAAATCTGAGCTGCTACGGTCTATGAAACTGTTGTGACATCCCATACAATTAAGGAATCAATGGCTAATCAGGTCAAATTTAAACGTAATCTTTTAAGCACGTAAGAAACACTACGAGGACCTTTTAAATGATGATCCTTAGATATCTTCCCGATCATTGCATTTAAGAAACAAGTGAACATGCACGCACATTAGCGCATTCTAAAGACTCCATTCTTAATTTCATTTACGATTGTCCTCAATGCATCGTATAGTGTTAATACTGCACCCATCCATTACCAAAAGAAGTGTACATAAGTGGATATATGTTTACATACTTAGGATATATATAGCGGAATTCGTTAATAAAGAACTATTTATACGTAACATATTTCTACTCATTTGTAATATCATGTATTATATACTCGGGGACTTGCCCCATTTATATCATACATACCGTCCCACAATATAAAATTAAAAGTTGGTTTAAATAAAATATTTAAAGTAACAAGCATTGCAGTCAAAATGATTTATTACTTATGAATAAATTAATCTTGACTCGCATCAACATTTTCTGTTTGCAGCCCTTTGAATGTAGCTACAGGGATATAAGTAACTAATGTGTACAGTTTATTTGCAGAATCCTCGTCATCGTTCCTCCTCCTGCTCAAACGGACTCGAACACGGAATGGGACGTTCCTAAATATTAAAAAAAAATATCAGTACGTACTCGTATCTACTTATTGGATTAATAAAGCTCCAAGCTTTCAGAGATACAGTTAAGTAAATCATATAGCAAGTAATGTACCTGATTCCCTTTGACCACAGTTGTTTGTTTAGGCGGGTGTCAATCCTAACGTCTGGCGTGCCCATTTGTTTCTCTGCAAACTTTCTGATTTCTTTAATAGCCCTGGGAGCACGTTTCTTGAACCCGACTCCATGCAAGCGTTTGTGCAGGTTGACGGTGTATTCACGAGTCACAACCTCATTGATGGCGCTCTTGCCTTTCTTCTCGTTGGTCTTAGTCATTGTTATCTAAATAGGAGAATATGCATGAATCGATATAAATCCCACATATGGTTACAGAAAGAAATTCGAGAAATCAATGTTTGCAAAATAAAATCATTCAATGGTACATCATGTAAACAAAGTATAGGACTAACAATAAAAACAAAGATAATATTAAAATGAATAATAACACCACCGTAATTCGTACAGATAAATTAAAAGCAATACACAGAATCTCGCAGGAATAAAAGTGAACGTAACATTCCGGTGGTAAACGTCCTTAACCTAACAACCTGTCATGCCACTAAAGATATCGTTAGAAATTTTAAAAATATTCTTGAAGTCACGACAGTCTTCAAAATTTGGCGTTAAATCACTTATAAACTATCGGATCTAACGAATATACGCGTTGATGTTCCTAGATTACATTTAACAGAAATTACTTGTTAACTCTCCGATCAGATGGGCTTGCTGAAAAAGAAGCGGCCGACGGATACGTTCTTAAACGCATGTACTTCGTCCCTGTTTTAACGACGTTTAATAAACTCTGACCAATGAACGTTACATCTCACAAAAAGATAACACACCATTGGCCAATTCATAACCTCAACAGTGGCCAATCGAATTACAACGCTTTCCAAAATGACGCCGTCGCCACCAGAGGGTCTATTCAGAGATGAGTTGGGCTCAACTCATCTCTGTCTCCACTGAGCGTTTACACCCAATTACGACAATCTAGATCCCCAGCTTTCACGATCGATATAAACGCGTGGTATTGTTTTCACACATGTGTCACCTAATTCAACTTCCGAATGCGTCAACTTGAGAGTTAACATAATTTAGAGCCTAATTCCTTTTCATTACAGTCGATTATTTTTATTACAATGTGGAAAGTTTTGTGTGGTTTATTCCTTTTGGGATCGCTCGTTTCAGAAGGTATATATATATAAGTGCAGCTACTTTTCGCTATGCCAGGGCGTGGTTTCCTTGATTTTAATTTTTGCGACCCTTTTGCATAATTGACTGTAACGTGTAGGATAGTATCTATAATCACGTTTGACTTCGACCATTATCGATACTATACTGTTGCATTTTTCAGGGGAATCTTTATACTGTTATCGATGCATGAGCAATCACCCAGGATGTGGTACTCCGCTGAACTGGCTCTGGTACTGGGGCGAAACATGTCCAGAGTACGATGACAAATGTGTAAAAATTATCGAAAGAAAAGGATGTAAGTCAGTTTGGTATATACACGCTCTTAATGCAATTATACCGGAATGACATACCACCGTATTATGTTTTGACTAGCTGAAACTATTATCACCCGAGACTGTCTCAGTTCGGTGCGCAACTTCAGAACGGACATCCCGGCTGATCGATACGAGGGCTGCCGCCCGGCTGCGAAAGACGTTCGATTAGGACATTATGTGAATAACAGTATCCACCAACTGGATATACACAGAGATTACTATGACGAAGTAACATGGTGCTTCTGTTACTTCGACCATAGATGCAACGACGCAACAGAGCTCAAGATTTCGGCACTGCTAGCAGTAGCAGGCATTGCCGTCCATTACTTTGTATCGATTTGACAAGTACAAGCCTTGTACATAGCATATTGACAATTGCCTAGACCAAACGGCTTAAGAGTAATTACGGCACAGTAATTTATACATTCCCCTAAGACCTGTAAGTTTTTATACCTGCGAGAAGATTTCTAATAAGTTGCAAGCTTTGGCTCTTTACACCGTGCATGAAAGTCTGCAATTCGTGTTCCGTCCATTCGATAATCGTACAAAGCTACATCTACGCTATATACATATACTTTACATATTACGTACTCGTAAGGACTGTAAATAGGTATATTTTTGTATCGTCCGAGTTCGAAGAGCAAATAATAAAAAGAAAAAGAGCCATCGGCTCTTTTTGACGGTACTTTATTGTCACACAACTAAGATATCGGAGTGTAGCGCGCCTTTTTAGAAAAGTCGCTAATTACAAACGTTTATACAAATTTCTTGTATGCTCAGAACCGACCACGTATCGAGGTAATAGTAGTGTAAAACGAATTAAAACGAGGATACGCAAGAGTCTCGGTCGAGGACGCTTTACTTTACAAAATCTGTGCATCCCGGTTTCACCTTTCTCTCCCTCTCTCTCTCTCTCTCTTTCTCTCCCTCTCCGCCATTTGTAGTCCGTCGAGGGTTATTCTCGGCGTTCGCGGCATTATAATTCGTCTCGTGCTCTGTTACGCTATTTACTATATTATTTCTACAATATTATCTCTACCCGATTCCTCGGCATTCTCACTCGCATCACAGTCGCGCGTCTCACTTGTCTTTGGAGCATTCGCCTCGCCATAATACATCGAGCGCGCGTGCCAATTTCGAAACTTCGGTCGGACGTAAGAAACGAATAAACTGAGTCGTCGTAAACACGTGGAAAGGAAAGAAATTGAAAGGAAAATATAAACTAGGAAGCTTCCACGCTCGATCGACAGATTTACCGAAGGCAATTTACCGTTGGAATGGAAGCAAATAAAGAAACCACCGCGACGCTTCCATAAGTTACTCCGGGGGAGGAGCTGCCCAACATGGCCGCGGATTTTCCCGGTCGCGTAGGAAACGTCAAACCGCGCTCCAATCGACCGTTAATCGACCATCGAGGTGTATCAACCATTTCTAAATTCGCACACACTACCGGTATTTGCTAGCACAAATGTTCGAGATTAGAAATAAATAGATTTCGGGGGACGGGAGCAAAGGGGGGGCGCGATGTAGTTCGGAGTCTTCCCCGAAGGTGGCGTTCATAGCATGCCGAATCCCTTGGAGTAGTTGATCGCCTTAAGGAGGCGATCTTGCAGCTTCTCCAGCGAGCTGTAGTCCGGCAGGAGCAGGACGTTGAAGCACGTGTGCGCTATCGGCAATCTTAAACATGAAATTACACGGATGTTAATGGAAAAGCCCATTTAAAATCCGAATTTTGGTGGTCAATGTATCAACCCTCGGTTCGCGTCGCGGTTACCGATTAAAATCAACGTCAGAAGGATCTTTAGAGATTTACAGGTAAATCGTCATGAACCGAGGGTTAAAATAGATAAGGGGTCATGATTAGCCACGAAGTACCTGTCGGAGTCGGACCCATGTCGCGCGATGACCATCTTGAGCCTCGACAGACCGCCTACAGGAACTCTGTCACTTCCGGTGGTGAACTGGAGGAGTTTCCTCTGGCTTTCGGGAGAAAGCGAGTGAGCGACCTGCCAGAAATTGCGAACGGTCTCGCTGTCGACCGTGTAGCCGCCCTCGTACTCGGTGGCGGCCTCCAATTCGGCGAAGTCGAAGACCTTGCTGCCGCACACCAGCTTAAAAGGGGATGAAAACGACCCTGTTAACGTTGATCCCATTTCAGGGGGGGTAAAACGCATTAACGAGGCGCACCTGCTCGATCTCTTCGGGCCGAAAAAGCAGAGCCAGGGGACTCTCGTCGGTGACCATCTGGAAACCTCTCCGGAAGGCCCTGAACTGCCTCTCAACGGAGCGGTTCAGCAAAAAATCGGCATAGAGATCGGCGAACTCCATCTTATTCTCCTGGGTGACGTACATTTCGTCCCCGTTTTCCCTGAGCTCGTGGAAGAGTACCGAGCCGAAGACGTCTCTGGAAATTTAGAATAGGAAAAATAAAAACCACGTTCTAATATATATCGCCCGAAAGAGGCGTCTCCACGTATGACTTACTTGTAACCGACGCGAAAGGTTTGCATAAAAGTATCGGGCATGTCGTCCCCGATATAATTCATCATTTCCATCATACTTCTGTACAGAGTCGGGCTCCAGTCCTCGAGGTCGGCGAAGCCACCCTTCCTCCCCAGAAGTTTCCTGTAGACCACCATGGGGAAACGCACGTCGAGGATCACATTGTTGTAGATAGCCAGACCGAGGACGACGCCTATCAGGGTGAACTGGGCGTCGCTCTCGAAGGACGTAGGGTTGAACCACGTGGTCTGGGTCTCCTCCTGCACCCCCATTAATAATCGCCTCCATTAACCATGGGTTTCGCTTAATTTTCCTTAAGGCAATGCAAAAGTGACATAGGATATAGGTTCCCATGGCCCTTCGGATGGCACTTTAACATCCCCTTAATTAACCAAACTACATTTTCTATAGACTCGATCAGCACCTGCGTCGTGAACATTCCATAGTCCGGGTTAAATATCTCCTCCACGACCAGCTGGAAGAACTCCTTGGACACGCCGCCTTCGTCTACCCCTTGCTCTCCCTCGAACTCCACGACTAGCTGCTTCTTGAGATCGGTAGGATTCTCCATGGCCACCATTTCCAGCTCGACCAGGGCGTCGTCTATCAGGTGATCCCTCCTAATCTGTTGAAGAGGAAGAATTAGTCCCTTGGGGAAGGATCACCGGGAGTCCGGAGTGCCAGCTCACCTTTAGCCTCAGGAAGGGATTCGTAGGCTGACCCACGACAGTCTGCAGGAAGCTCATCCTTCTTTCGTTATACATGCGGATGCGATTATCGTAATAGAGACCCAACGTCTTCGTCGCCGGGGTCAGGATGAACGCGTAATTCATGAAGCTGAACTTCTTCGGGTCCTCGCTCTTGTAGTAGGCGAAGTCCTTGTCCATCTCGACGATGTCGCTTAGGGGCTCGTTGTAGAAGTCGTTGAACGAAATCTCCGGTTTCCTGGCGTCCAGCATGCAGATGCCCAGCAGCTCAGCCAGGGGATCCTGAAGAGGATCGACCAGGTGAAAGATTATTTCCAAATTAAATTCCCCAGGGTTAAATCCCCCCATACCTGCAGATTCTGCGAGGAGGTGTTCCTGTGACTCGACTTGTCCAGGTTGGCCATGTCGTCGTCTTCATCTCGGGAGCTCTCCAAACTATCCAGCTCGCCTGCCAATATACTCGCGTAGTAGACGATCTTCATCACCTTCGTGGGAGCCGTGATGGTCTCTGCGTCCTGGACGCAATAGTCTCGAGTGAAGGAACCCGAGATTACCTGTAATCGGGAGGGAAAGAAATCAGTATCATCTCAAAGGTACAATATTCACTGGCTAGGAAGGAGATCCTCGTCGACGACTTTAATCGCCGTACCTTGACGGTGATGAGTTCCTGAAGAGCTTGGAGGAGGCTCGGAAGCCGCGATTTACAATGCCTCGCCCAAATCCGAGCCATCTTGGCTTGAGCCGCGATCGGCAGACAGGCCACGGCCTTACATAGCATGTGAAGTGCCAGCTCCAGGTACTCGCTGTTCCCCAAGGCGGGGATCTCGAAGACGATGAGGAACACATTCAGGAGACTGTCGATACTGTCGTATCGGGCTGCGCTAAAGACCCTCAAGTCCAACTCTATACTATCCGCCAAAGAGACTAGGGCGTGGATGAGCGCCGACTCGAAGGCTTCTCCTGGAGGATTTAAATTTATAAGAATTTATCTAGAGTAAGAATGGCAGTGGCTCTTCATCCCCAGGTATGTGGTTCTAAGATATAGTCACCTGGTAACGACCAGAGAGCAGCAAACGCTCTCCGAACGGCTGGTAAGTCGACACTGGAGTCATCAGGGTGAGGAACGGTGGGTGATGGGTCGCTGCTATCCTCTTCTTTGTCCTCACCCTGAAGAGACCGTACGGCTTCTTTGCTCAGGTCACCTGGGGGACGTAGAAGGGAGTCCGGAGCTCTGTCGAGCAGTGCAGCGAGGGGTGAGTCGGTTTTCTCGCTCTTTTGGAAACTACAGCTCAGGTTGTCCGCTGTTGAGAAGACCTCGCCCAGTGTCCGGATCAGGAGAGAATATGAGCCTTCCGATTTACATCTCTCTATTATGTCCAGAAGCTTCGCTTCGGTGAGATATGGCACTGGTTTCTCTGTGTGGAGGAAATTAGAATTTAATTTGAAAATGTGACTTGAAATTTATGCAGCTGCAAAGCCTAACCGATGCTTTATCTTTCAGTCTCCGATGCTTTGACAGAAGTCTATATTAACAAATAACTGCGCTTGACACTAAGCTACGTAACAAAGAACTAGTCGGCAAGACAGTAACGAAAAGTTTATTGCACATCAAGGTACAGTTGCCTGACAAGCACTCGGAGAGGACTTCTTCGACACCTTCAATTTATCAGGACGGAGAAATACTGTCAGATGTATAAATCTACCGCACTTGATATTTATGGCACATTTCGCGGGAGATTTAGAATCTCTGATAGATCACTTGTTGTTTAGGTAAGTGAGGTACAAAGCAAGAACGAGTAATTTTGAAAGACGAGCATGGGGAGAATACTTGTTCCGATCAATGCTGGATAGTCTTACGGATCTGTTCGGCTGCTTTCTCCCTTTTGGCTGGTTTCTCGCGTTTCTCACTTGGTTTCTAGTTAATTTTCTCACTTGACGGGGTGGAACTGTTACACAGTAAGCGTTGTATATTTTAGCAAGAGCTGAATCCTTCACGACTCTCATAGACTCTTCCGTGCTCAAAGTAAATTGAGTCTCCGTACTATTCGAAGGGAGAGTTTGTATGCTGTCACAAGAACATTGTGTTTCTACGCTGCAACCAGAAGATTCTATTTTTATGGTGCGACTAGAACATAGTGTTTGTATGCTATTACTAGAACATAGCATTTGCATGCTGCCGTTAGAGGATTCAACTTGCATCCTGCTATCATTCGTTTTGTCTGAAAAATGACTATACGAAGAATTTTTTTCACAATCTTCTTTCCTTTCTGCACCTGTAAGAGGTTCTATTGGGCAATGACATGTCGAACAAATACAGTCATCGATTTCCATGCATGAACTTGATTCTTTGGAATTATAATTGTCTTGACTAAGAACTTTTTTATATGGAAGAGTCCAACTGATTTCATTACTGATTTGCACCGGTACATTCGATTTGTTTCTAGCATTCATCTTTATCTGATCATTTTTCTTTTTAGAATTAGTTTGACGAAACTGTACATTTTTTATTTTATCATTTCTTACTCGCGTTGGATTTGCGACATTTTTGTAAGCCCTGTTCATACAGGAATTCATTATTTTAGCAGGACACGTCGACTTTCCTTGCTGAAGAATTTTCTTGTTAGAACTGTTTTTATTAATTTGCGAATTTATGTGCGTTTTGCTGACAGTATTCTGATTAACTTTTGCATTTGGGGTTTTCATGTTAGAACTAGTTTTATCAAGCGGATTCATCTTGTTCGCGGCCTTCGTTATTAATTTGTCGTGACAGTAAATTACTGAGCAGGTATGAGTCGAGGGTATTTCATCGTTACTTGATGCGTTAATTGAACTTGATTCAATTGGATTAAGAGATTTCGTGTATATAATTTCAAGATCTTTCTTATCACTTTGTACCTGAACATTTGCTTTATTAGAAGGTTGAATTTTGAATTTAGCTGTATCAAGAATCAAAGAAGTGTTGCTAATTTGTCGACATTCGTCTGTCTTACCATCAGATATCAATTTACGGCGATTAGAAATTTTCTCGCAAAGACATGAAGTGTCGTTACTGAATTGCATGCATTCGTTCTTTTTATCAACAGAACTTGGTTGAACTTGAACAGGGATTTTCTTGCTAAAAGTAGAAGTTCCAAGCGCATCATTTGTTTTCGATATATCTAGTGAGGTAGCTTCACCAGAGTCGAGTTTTGATGCGATACCTTCGATTGCACCGGTGGCATTTACACTTTTCGATGGAAGACTCTTAGCTAAAGATACCGGTCCAGGTTCCAGGGTGGTCCTGGCGACTTTACTGGGCTGCGTACCATCGCATAGTCGTGCTTCTTGAGAGAACAGCTGAATGGCCTGTGCCGCTGCCTGATCCGGTGTTAGGTTTGTCACCTGTTATTCAAATTCACCAACAATAAAATCAAATGATTCTTTAATACGTAGAATGTATCGAACCTGGTTGACACAGAAAATAAATGGTACTAAAAAAACTAAACAAGGCTCAACATACTTTTCCACTGGAAGCACAATTCTGATTGTCACACCAGGGGTTTCCACATCCATCGGTAAGTTGGTAAAAATAACGTTCAATTAATTTCTTGACAGCTGCACGCTTCATGTCGCTGCAAGGGCTCTCAGCTCCTACCCTGAGGACAAAGGAAATGTTTTATTTCTAAATAAATAACGACTACAGGGTGTACGAAAAACAAAATTAATAACAAAGGAACAAGGGACAAAAGAACAAGACTAGATGTTTCCAGAAATTAAAAGATTCAGGGAACTGTAATGTCACATTATAACCTAATCAATGATTCATGAAACTCTACAAAAGATGGGGAATAAAGCATAAAACCTTCGAATACAGTCAAGAATTAGACCCCACAGTACTAATTGAGTTAAACGTCGAAAGGAAGACCTTCGGAGTCTTTTTGACCTTTACAACTCACAAAATAACTTCCCTTTGAACATTTCCTCCTTTATAATCGCCGATAAACAGATTCCTCTTGCTGCACCTGGACTACAATATCGCTTAACCTAATCACGATCAAGCCAAGATGTCACTGCAAAATTGAGCGAACCGGAGAATCATAACGGAGCGCTATAAATAAACCGACCAATGAGTTGCGTATGGATGTAAACAAGCTGCTGAAGTCGTCACGGCGTGCAGTGTCGAACGAGGTCTTGACTACCGATCTAACGTAATTCAACGCAGCCTATCCCAGGATTACTGACATGTCGTAGGAGCAGCGAGAGGAATCAACACCTTCTTTGGGGGGGCCTGAAAATAAAGAAAGAGGTTGGAATGGAATAAGCACGGAGCAATTAATACCTGGAAGTGAGGTCTTCTCCAGGGTCCTTTTGGCCCTTGCCGTTCATAGAACGTTTCTCTTCGTAATTTTGCCTTCCTCGCGAGCAACGCCAGAATCGGGCAGAATCCTCGCACCGTATCACTACCACCTCGAGCTGGCCGAGTGAATAACTCACTAACACAGTAACTAAATTTAGCGCAACGTTTCCCTGTGAGCGTGGATGGTGGGGGTTAGGTACGTCCGGGGCGAGCGGGGAGAGGACGACCGCTGGTCCCCGTTGGTGGTTGGTACCAACTGGAATTTGTATTTTGCGCACGCGACGGGCTCGACCTGCAGACGGGCCTCCACCGAGAGGTTAGCGCTCCTCAATCTCGAGACTCGCGGCTGCAATTCGCGCGCTTCATCGGCGCGCGATACGAGTTTCCCACAACGAGATTCTGTCTGCTTTTTTCCGCCGCTCTGCCTCCTGCGCGCAACGCACCAGCCGCGAGTTTCGATTATCTCGAGTATCTGAAGTATCTCGAACGATCTCGAACGATCTCGAAATTGGCTGCGAGTGTCGAGCGCCGTTCGTCCCGACCGCCACGAAGGCGGGAATTTTCAAGAAAAGAGAATCGACTCCCAAGTGAAGAATCTATATAGTTCGGTACATCGTGCGAGATGGCGCCGTCAAAAATGCATTTAGTTCTAATTGCGCATGTGTGTTAAGTTTCAATTCTAACCTCAACGGGTTTGGTTTTGAGGTTAAGCTCTCGAGGTTTACTTAATATAATTGATCAATATAAAAGCGTAGGAATGTAGATATAGATTAAATATAAACAGAATATTTTGCAAAATCTGTAGAAATTAAAGTACTCGTATATAGACTCACGTTAGTAAGGGGGCTTATGTGCTATAGGTTATAAAATCTTTCGAACATCGCTGAGTTTGTTATAAATAAAAAGGATGTCGACACGATGGTGAGTTTATGGCACTAAATTTTTATTCTATTTTTCACTTAATGGATATATGTGAATCTTAAGACACATAAATTACATAAGCCACAACTTTTTAGGTATCCGTTATATCAAAGAGGCAATCCACAACTACGTGTATTTTTACCAAATTTCTGGATGAAGTTAGTAAAGCCAGACATAAAGCAACCTCCTAACATTGTACAGTTTCACTGTTCAATGAAAATGACCAAGTATGATATACGGAATTATTTGGAAAAGATCTATAAAATTCCTGTGGTAGAGGTAAGGACGAGGATTGCACCTGGTAAAACGGAACAGGGGATTAAGACTCCATATGTAATAAAATATGACGACTACAAAGTAGCTTATGTAGTTTTGGTAAGACTTCAATTTTTACCAAACGTTCTTAGCAACATTTTATGAAAATGAGGAAAATTCAATCCATGTCTTGCGTTCTTTAGCCTCAAAGTGAGTCCTTCACATTTCCGGACTTATTTATTGAAACGGAGAAACCAATGGAGAGTGAGAAGAAAATGCTTGAAGAAGCAAAGAAAGAGCACAAAGCAAAATGCAAGAAGGAAACTGAGACCGGTATACCTAATTGGTACAGTTTTTAAGTTATTAGAACTTTAGTAAATCTACACAAGAATTAATTGTAAATGAGAAAATAAACATGTATTATTCACAACCAAGTGTTGCTATTATTACACATATATTGATTTTATCTTATATTTATATTACATGTAAGTTTTACGCAATGCTAATGCGTATACATAGTCTTATATTCCTGCTCCACAGAACTTTGCACAGCTGCAAGTATCGTTGCTAACATGTAATTTGAGATACAAATTACTGGTATGTAGCATTCTTGACTGTGTCTCCATTAATATATATTTGAAACAAAACATTACGTTATCTGATTCTCTTAGGTATTGAATCTCGATCCATACTTTGACTCTTCTAATACATATTTGAAACTTAACTGACTTTGCACATAGCCTTACATTGGTGAAACAATTTTTGACATTCATGTTAACATTATGTCTTCTTAGAAATAATACTTTAAATGGCAGCTAAATTAAGAAATGAAATGTTATTTCTTGAAAAACAGATTTTATGCAAATAAAAGATTTCGTCTTGTTAAGCAAATTTCTTGCTTTGATCTAACTCATGAAAAAACTTACATCAATGTCATTGGAAATTATTTTGATCGTTTACCTGCCTTAAAATATTACTCCAATCACTTTGTAGTCACACTAAACATCTTATATTATAATTATAATTAAAAAAGTATAAAAATATATTATAGCCTTTTTAATAATGCTATGCATTGAACTCTGACAGCATGAACTCGTAGGCACGACAGCACGGGCATTGTGTCAAATCACTCAAAAACAGTGTCTGAAAATAATAATAACCAAAACTATTAACAGCTCTAACCAAAATTATGTAACGGAAGATAATCAACCATCCTCACCACCCTGACATTCTCTTAAAAGTAAATTCACATTTAAAATATAAAAATATATTTTGATCTAACCAGTGGATGTAAAGGGCAGGCATAGCGAATCCTACCCCAGGTCAAGAATCCACAAACCCTGCAGAGTACGTGCGACCGAGGTCTGTCGCAAAGGCATTTATTTATTGGGAAATTAGTCTGTGCAATACCCCTTCCTCGGATCACTCTTCTAATGCAGGTGGAGTCGTTTGACACGGTGGAATTACAGAGTTCTGATGCCATGTCCAGACCTAAACAATTATTTTTTTAACTAGTACCATGCTAATAAATGTCCACACAATTGAATTACTAATGTAGCTGCATTAGTGACAAATTAAAGACATCCCCAGTAATTTCCACCTCTTATACACATTGCTATAAATGATCCATTGAACCAAGGTTCAACGTAAACATTTTTGTACCTATTTCTCTAGCACCAAACAAGCCCTCATTGTTTTCTCCCCGGATCCAATTTTCCCATTCAAAGTCATAGAGGAAGCAATCCTTAACAATTACACCGAACAATGCACATTCCTCCCGAGTCTACTTCCCATTACAAGAGTCTTAAACCGACCAGACCTCGCCAATTGACAAGAAGCGAGGTCGCACTTGAAAACTACGCGTAATGTTTCTTTCGCAAAAGGGACCGGTGACAAATTCAATTGGGATTCAAGACACGAATCTACGTGCCCGCTATTTGGCACAATTGCAGCGCTTGCATTATTAATTGTCCACGAAATTCTTAACAAGTAAAGTGTCACTTTAATGCGTTCGACTCACCGGCAGAAATCACGTCCTGGATGCGATCAATTAATGCGGATACTTGACGATAATTAATCCCGATATCTGTCGAGATCGCACACGTGGTTACAGGATTTGTCAACGAAGCGGTGTGAAGTTGTCCGAAGTACACCGAGGGGTATCGAAATTTACTTTTAAAGCAACGAGACGTTCATCTTGCGTGAGCAGCCGGCAACGTCGTCGCGAGTTCGCGGTCGTTCTTTGTTTCTCGCGCGACGACGCTGATTGGTCGGCGCAGAGGCGCCTCGGCCGAATGGCGCGCGCTCATTGGTCGACGCAGTGGCGCCTCGACCGAATGGCGCGCGCTCATTGGTCGACGCAGTGGCGCCTCGACCGAATGGCGTGCGCTGATTGGTCGACGCGGTAGCCGCCGCAGCTGTGCATGCGCAAGCTCGGGCGACACCGCGGTAACTCCCTGAAGGATTTATTTTAAATGTATAAAAAAAGGCCGTAACAATCGAATGTCTAAATGCTCTATTTCGCTTATTTTCGACACCGAAATGAACATCGCCAGAAACTAAACGTTCGATTTTATAAAAATCCACGACCTGTTCTAGGTAACCTGTAAGATAAAAATTTCTTTACATTTTTACAACTAAACTCTGTCAAGTTACTGATTTTCAGAATGTAAATCTAGAGATTAAGAGAATTCCTTCTTTCTCGCGTTTCGATCGCTCCAAAATAGCGTAAGTTTATTATACTTTAATCCTTCCATTATATTCGAGGTTTCCTCAAAGTCTTGTCGTACCTAATTTCCACATTTCCCGTGCAGGTCTGATGAACACAAAAGAGATGTGACAAAATAGGAGAGCGTCAGTAAACCCTGCGTAATCGTTTCAAACTATCCGGAAGTATTACGAGTGAGTCTAGATAAAGGACGCCATAAAACCTTTCTTAGGGCACAGCAGGACGCCATTGTGGGAAAATTGGTCTACCCCATTATCTTGATTTTTCCCTGCCTTAATCCGAAAGGGGCGATAGGTATTCCCTATCTGTAAATAATCCCGACAACCAGGACACTTATCCACGCGTCCAGAAACGCATTGCGTACATTAATCTATCTGGAATACGTTTAACTGTAAATAAGCTCGCCTATGGGTGAAAGTTTAGACCTAGTTAGAAAGCTCAGACAAGTTTAGGCCGTTCTTGTAGGGAAATCGCAAATGTTAATCCACGATGTATAATGACGAAAAGTACCGGCTACGATGGAGTAAATTGCAGTAAAATAAGTATCCCGGGTTGCCATGGCGAATCGATTAAACCGATCAAACTCGCAACAGAGAATGGCGAGTAATGCAGGTGTGGAGAACAAGCGGACCGGAAACAGTAATTTGTCCTCTATTTATGGAAGGTACAGTTTCGTTATACGCGATTCCGTCTTTTGAGGTCCAATTAAACTAGTCGACGACTGTCCTGGTAAATGCGATCGCCATGTTTATAGATTTTCTCCTCGCTGAGCAGATAGTTGGAATAGTCCTTACGTACGCGAGCTCCTTTAGAAATGTATCACATAGAAGATATACAGTAAGATTAATATAAAATAGCCACGTGTTATTTAAAATCCGCCTCTTTGTGCCTGTATCGTTTTACAAGTATTAGGAGCCAATTTTGAGATGGGTTGATTTAATAAGAAATTAATAATTAATATTAATCCACAGGGTGCCGACAGTAGGAACGGACAAGATGAAAGTCACATTCTGCACGGACATGGACAAGTCCGTGATAGTCTACAATTTTGAAAAAAGAGGCTGGACTCAAGTCGGCCCCGAGGACGACTGGAATTTTTACTGGTGATAGAAATAAAAAAAAACATTCTTAATACAATTGTATAATCAGGAAATTAAATTCCTCAGGGCCGTCACGCAGTCGTGTCGATCCATCTTCAGCGTGGAGACTGGATACAGAATGGGAGACAACCAGTGGGCACAATGATTAAATAAATATTATGAGGTAACGTATCAAGGGAGCATTATAAATAAATAAAAAAATTGGGAATCGCAGGACCATCAATCACTTTCCAAATCACTATGAACTTACGCGAAAGGATCTGTTGGTAAAGAACATAAAGAGATACCGAAAGGATTTGGAAAGAGAAGGAAATCCCCTGGCTGAAAGAGGAGACGGCCCAGGAAAATACCTCCACCTGGACTTCATACCTGTGACTTTCGTGTTGCCTGCAGGTGACCAAGATTTCGCCTTGTTTCTCTGATGTTATATATAAAAGGTAAAACACTATTTTTCAGACTACAACATGTTCGTGGAAGAATATCGCAAGTCGCCCCAAAGTACGTGGATCATGAAGCCTTGTGGAAAGTCGCAAGGGACGGGAATATTTTTAATAAACAAATTAAGCAAATTAAAAAAATGGTCCCGCGAAGCGAAGAACCCATTTAATCCAAACCTCACCAAAGAGTCATATGTGATATCAAGGTAAGGATGTTAAGTAACGCGTTATTCGAAATACAAGCATAAACAAATTTCAGGTACATCGACAATCCACTTTTAATAGGTGGAAAGAAGTTCGACCTCCGCCTGTACGTGTTAATTACTTCGTTTAGACCGCTGAAAGCCTATTTATTTAAACTGGGATTTTGCCGCTTTTGCACCGTTAAATACGACACCAGTATACAAGAACTGGACAACATGTATGTGCACCTCACTAATGTATCTGTACAAAAGCACGGGGTATGTATATTCTGTAATAATTCTATTAGTACTGGATAAAGAATTAAATGCGTTATTTCAGGACGAGTACAATAGTCTGCACGGTGGGAAATTAAGCGTTCAGAATCTTCGACTGTATCTGGAGAGCACTCGTGGAAAAGCTGTAACGGAAAAGCTGTTTTCCAACATTTCTTGGTGTATCGTGCACTCGTTAAAGGCCGTGGCCCCGGTAATGGCAAATGACCGTCATTGCTTTGAATGTTACGGTTATGACATAATAATCGACAACAAATTGAAGCCCTGGCTTATCGAGGTAGAGACTATTGTAGCGATAGGCACGGAGACGTCGAACGTTTCTAATTTACATATTGGATTTCCAGGTGAACGCTTCGCCGTCTTTGACGTCTACCACAGTAAACGATAGAATATTAAAATACAAATTGATCGACAACATAGTATCAATTGTAGTACCACCGGATGGTGTACCTGAGTAAGCGTTTGTTCGTATAAAACAAAATAATCTCACGTTAATTACAAGTAATGATTTTTCTTCCCCAGCGTAAGATGGAACAAATGTCCGTCTCAGGAAGCAATGGGAAACTTCGAGTTATTGTTAGACGAAGACTTGGCTGCCCAGGAAGAGAGAGACAACCCAACTGGAAAGTCTAGGGCTTCGAACAAATGGAAATGAAAAAAAGCCCGACGGCCAAGGCCGAAGAAAGCTCCAAAGGACACTTTAAAAGCACCGAATCCTGTAAATTGAACGGTACAAATTCCCACGGCCGAGGTTTATAAAATACTTTTCAAAAGCTTTAGACTCGTTACCCCAACCGTGAGAGTGAGATTCGCGTCAAGAATGTATATACGAAGATTTAAATAATCGCGGGGAGAGTCGCAGCTATTTCCACCCATTTGTACACATTTTAAATACAAACCACAATCGGCGTTAAGGGAACAATCAATCAAGATATCTCATTATTTCGATATAAAATACATTAACGAGAGTGTTGCTTTTTTCTTCTTCTTTTTTTTTTTCCTTTCTTTCGCTTTTGTACACATATTTTACACGTATAGCATTATAAGATACATTGTTCGCAAATGTAAAAAAAATATAGGCAATGATTTCAGTCTTCGACGCTAAACAAGAGTAATAATTTAATAATAAGTTTCCTCAAGGCGGTTGCTGTGGCAGTGCGAGGTTTAAAATCCTTACGGACTCGTGTATTTGTACAAGTCTCGGTAATTTTGAGTACCATTATCATATATACTTCGTAATTACCCCTATTTATGACGCGTTTATGGCACGGTTTTGCGATTTAATTAAGTCACAGGAACAGTCACAAGGACGACATTGTGCGACGATGCGGAAGGGTTAAAGTCATAGGAGAAATCAGACGATGCATGTGCAACTCCGTCACAGGTCGATAAAAAATTCCCTACAAGTTACTCCAAATACATGTAAAGGGGAGAAAAAAAAAAAGAAAAAACCGTAATCAAATTAACAATTCGCGCACTAAATATCGACCAAGCACCAGGAAATATTATCCCGCAATCAGGATTTCTTTTCTTTTTTTTTTTTCCCCATACATTTTGCGACCTGCAACGAAGTTGCACCGTACACGAATTAATTGTTACATGCGCTGCGCCAACTTTTATAACTATTTACTCAGGACATCGGTCCAATAGTTTAACAAGCTGGAATGGTATGTAAACTATGGGCAAACTGTCGATACGATGAGAAATGCAATAATGTGATGTGAAGCTATCGTGCCTATAGACTCATGCACCTTTCAGTATTGGTACTAGCATTTCGATAGCGATTCGCCGTTAACAAATTCGCGTACCTTAGCGAAAATTTATCCCTTAGATCTAACTCCTCTTTAAGTGCACCGAATTCGCGTTAATACGAGCTACGCGAATCTGCGACTTTCCGATACATTAGTTAAACACAATTGGATAAAAATGTACCATTGTCTATTATTTCAATTGCCTGTACGACACGTCGTAAAAATCTCCCGGAATAATCCATCCGCGTAAAAAGGCTCTTCTCCTCTTTTCTGCAAAACAATGAACTAAAACATTAATTTTCACCCGCGCAGGAAAGACAACTCGAGCGATTAAACGAGAAAATCGTATTTCCTTGTTTTGACAGTGAACAGCTGATTTACAGGCGTCGCTATAAATGTTAAAATATAATTAAAAAAAAAAAAGGTATTAAGATTTACGATTCAGGTAAACTAAGGAATAAAAAAAAATAAAAACAAAAGGTGGCACCTTAAATTGCATGTTATTTAGTTGATTTAATCGTTTGCTTCTTATCTCTCAGTCCATTGCAAACGATTTCGCGTCCTGTATAACTTTACTATGCAATGTTATATTACACCTCGAATGCAGAACTCATGTCAGTTATATATATAATAGATATGTAACTTCACTTTTGATTGGCGCGGGGTTTTTAAACAATGCAAGATATGCAGATTCCCGCAAAAAGTTGATCCTTCGACACACTTTGCAGCGAAAAAAGATGAAATGCCCCAAAGCATTGATATATAATAAAAAATAAAAAAAAAAGGAAAAATTTGGGCGCACTCTTCCTACAACCGTTCTGGAATTATTGCAAATCAGAGTGGAATAATTCGCGCCTCGTGGCAAACATTAAAGACCTAGGTTCAATTTAAATAGAAAAAAAGAAATAAGTTAACCGGTACCGGTCGAAAGCAACAAATAACAACAAAAGGCCTCTGACAATTACGTCTCCTAGGATATTGCAACTTCCTTGTTCCCTTCATAAAGCCGTGGCTAATAAGAACACGTTGGATGGTCAATTCTTGTATGTCGGTGCATAATCTCGAACCTAAGAGATTCCGCCTACTCTACTTAGCGAGTACATTTCAGTAAAAGAGAAAATGACCCTCGCCTTTAGTAGTGGGTTTTACAATAAAAAAGGGAACGCCACACTTCTCGTATAAAAAGGAGCCTCCACATCCTATCTAAACCTTATCAAGGCTTTAAGAAGATGCGGCCGAGATCGAGCGGAGATCACGTTTCCTGTCCGGCCTGCTGAACATTAATCCATTTAACTCGCCGTCCCGTCTATAAAAGTGCCTTCAAAGGACATTACAAATAATCGAAGTCCCCTTCGTAATCCTAGAGCGCAGATTATTCGACAATGTGTAATAAAATATCCGATGCAGCCTTTGGTTAAATGCTACGTCAGGTAAGGAACATAAAATATAGATACGTTTAATGGTAATAGTAACGAATATGTATGTACACATATGTATATATCTCGATATACATGCATACATATACACACATATATAATAATAATGTTATGATATACTTTATATCACAATTAACAGAGTATAGATAAAGGTGACGAATGAACGCGCATGCGCGCCCTGACGAGGAAAGTCATCGCGCGCTCGCGTTTAAGTTAAAAAATCGTCTCGTAATATATCTATGTACACTTTATACACGGGGCCTATTAAAAAAAATACGGCTCTCAAGGGGGCTCCATTCGCACCCTTTCGCAGTCACGCAGTCTATTTACAGAGAGCCGACAACCCGGCGCGCTCCTCGAGGTCGAGCGCGACCCGACCGCGGCTCCTAGGCACACAATGGCGTAGAGTTTTTGTACACGGGGAGAATTAGCTACACAACGAATATTTGCACTTTCCAATCTCGAAACGAAACCCGTCGTCCACCTTGAAGAAGGTTGAAGACCCTTCTGGCTAGTAACGAAGAACCGTGGAGTCCAGGATGTCTAGGGAACCCTTTGATACCAGGGAGAGGATCGTCGATTTTTCCCAAGGCTAAAGGCAGAGCTCATGGTTTTCCATATTTTCATGCTTTCGGGCTTTCACACGTTCCCCCTATTTCATATACCCGCATTTTCATATTTCCACATTTTCATGTTTCCACATTTCACATTTTCACGTTTTCATGTTTCCACATTTTCGTGTTTCCATATTTCACATTTTTCATATTTTCACGTTTTCATGTTTCCACCTTTTCATATTTTCACGTTTTCATGTTTCCACATTTTCATTAAACGACCTCCCACCTTGCCCAGAGCCCGCTGATGCCCGACACCGATACCTCCAGTTACAACCTGGTGAGAATATTCACGGGACAGGAGAAGGCGGCGGTGGAAGAGGGCTGAAGTAGGTGGAGGACCTCGAGCTGGGCGAGGGTGGACAGCTGATAGCGGCGTCGCTGTGGTATACCGACCTCGGCGTAGGTGGAGGTGGGAAGGGTTCGCTTTCGTACCTATACCTGGCAGGGTAATTGCTGTCCGACTCGTCGCAGATATCGGTGCTGCACGGTGTCGGAGGCGGAGGTTGATTAATGCTCCTGTAGTGCCTGTAGGGCCTGTACCTGGAGGCGTTGCTGCTGGAACACCTGGTGGAATTAGCCGTGGTAGCTGGACTGGGCGGAGGGTTCAGGGTTTCCTGAGGATAACCACCGGTGGAGCTGCCCCTCGTCGAGCTCGACGCGCCTTTAATCCAAATAACAATATCTCTTATCATCAAACGCCAACTCAGAAAAAAAAAAATAAGTAACTATGAAAATGAAAATCCACGTCTGCAAGGAATATTAAAATTCCTCCATTACCCCAAACCAGGTATTTAACGCAACGATCAGCCATAATTTAAAAATGGAGACGAACCTGTAATGTGACTGCGGTCGTAGCTGGATCCAATGCTACTGCCGTTGAGGGTGGACATCCTCATGGCCTCCAGTCCCGCCTTGAGGTCCTTCCTGCCGTTCTTCTGGGCCAACATCGGCTTGGCCGCCCTGCCCGGCTTGGGGGACAACGGGTCCCCGGCGGAGTCGTGCAAGATGTCGGGCAGCTCTTCATTCCCCGCCAGCCTCTTCCGACAATAGTAAAACCCTAGCACAATGACTATGACCACGCTCATGATGACTAGGATCACGACGATGTAGGTGCTCTTCCCGGAGTCCAGGGAGGGACCCGCGTCCTGGCGGTGATTGTTCGCCGAGGTGCACGCCGGTGCGGTCTCGTCGCTGCCATCCGCGCAATTTTCCCACCCATCGCACAAAGCCGTGGCGGGGATGCACACTCCCGTCCCGCTGCACTGGAATTGCCCGGCTCTGCAACAATGGGCCTCGTCAAGGCCATCGTGGCATTGTGCGGTGCCGTCGCAGACCCATGCCATATCTGAAAGAGCAGGACCATTGATTACTTGAAGGGCCCCCAAAAATCCGAATGGCTCCGCTCATCCTTTAATAAATTAAATCCCTAGTCACCAGAGGATTAACCTAGTCTAGATAAAATTCCCAGTACCACTTACCGATACAATGTCCGCTCTGGCACCTGAACTGATCATGGCTACAGGCAGGACAGCCCAATTCGTCGCTTCCGTCGGAACAATCGGTCTGTCCGTCGCACCTCCACGTGGCAGGGATGCAATCCTTGGCGACAGCCGAGCTGGGTGCCGCGCAGGTGAAGTGATCCGCGCCACAAGCAGGAGCAGCTCTACAGGTTCTCTCGTCGTCCGATAAGACCAGGGTCTGGGGACAGGAGCACCTGGAGGAGCTGGGGGAGCCGATGCAGAAATGCGAGCACCCTCCATAGTCATGGAAGGGGCTGCACACATGGGACTCCATGACCAGGTCGTCAGGTGTCCTGACAGTGACGAGGTCGGTGATGGGTCTGCTCATCAAGGTCCTTCTAGCAGTTCCTGCGGTTTTATTCGCCCTCTCCACGGTCTGGGTGTCCCGGTCGAACCAGTAGAGGTACTCGAAGAGGACGGCGAGGTGGGAGACGGAGGCTTGGCCAACGGAGACCAGAGTCCTCCTGTTGCCGCCGTTCAGGTCGGCGAACTCGACCAGCCTGCCCTGGGCCCAGAAGACGAGGTCCGCATCGGTGTCCAGCGCCAGGCTGGTGGGCTGCTCCAGGTCGGTCGCGATGACGATCCTCTCCTTGCCGTCCATCTTGCCCTGCATGACCCTCATCTTCCCACCAATGTCGGTCCAGAAGAGCAGTCTCTTCTCCGGGTGCACGGCGATGTTCCTGGGTTTCTCGCCCTCGCCCTTGACGACCACCCCCAGAGCCGAGCCGTTGTCGAGCCTGGTGACGTTGATCGCGTCGCTGGCCGCGCAGGACCAGAAGAGCAGCCTCCCCAGGGGATCCAGCGCCAGGTCGAAGGGATGTCCCGAGCCCCCCGATATCAGGACCCCTGCGTGGGTCCGGTTCTCCAGGGCCTTCCTGATAGACAAGGTCCGCCCGTCTATCCAGTAGACGTGCTGAGTAATAGGGTCGAACTCGATCGCCCGGACGTTCTTCAAGCCCTGCACCCGGAGGACGATGTCGGGGCAGTCGTTCGTGTCCGGGAGGAAGCGACTCATCACGTTGCGCAGACTGTACACCATGAAGTTCCTGGGAGCTGGAAATTGATTACGATTAACCTGGAGGTTCAACTCGTTCGAGAGTTACCGGACCTGGGTGCCTGGTAGGCAACTCACCTACGCAGGTTTTGTTGTCCTGAGCCAAGTTGTAGTGGGTAGGGCAGGCGCATTTGTGGGTTACAGAGGGTTTCCCGCCGACCCCGGGCAAGGCGACGCAGAGGTGGCCGCAGTCCCCGTTGTTCACGGCGCAGGGGTTGCGACCGGACTGCCTGGACGCGTGGAAGGTTAACAGGTCGGTCACCGATTCCAGCCGGTTGTGGATCTTGGTGCGATTGGCACCCGTGGTTTTATTCGCCCTCTCTATGTCCCCGGTGTTCCAGTCGGTCCAATAGATGTAGTCCTGGTACTGGGTTATGCTGAAGGGATATACTATGTCCTGGGTGATGATGGCCCTCCTCTTCATGGTAGTCAGGTCGTAGCTGTCGATCGCAGGGGTGAAGAGGTCGGCCCAGTAGAGTCGACGCGCCAAGTGGTCGATCGTCAGGCCATTTGCTCGACCTATGTCCGAAAGTATCACCGCTCTTCGGGATCCGTCCAGCCCGGCTCTTTCTATGCTCCCCGAGTTCCCCCACTCGGTCCAGTACATGTGCCTGACAAATTTGTATTAACATGAGAAAAAAAAATGCGTATAGGCGATCAATCGATACTGAATGAAATCATCAATTCACCCTCTTTCAGGATCCAGAGCGAGGCACCTCGGCTCCACCAGGTCCTGCCATACGAGCACCTTCCTGCAGCATCCTTCCAGCCTCACCACCTCGATCCTCCGCGTTCCCGTGTCGCTCCAATAGAGGTTATGTGCAATCCAGTCCACGGCCAGTCCCTCCGGAGTCTCCAGGCCCAGGTCGACGACCCTCTCCACGTCCGAGCCGTTCATGAAGGCCCGGGTGATGGCCTTCACCTTCACGTCCGTCCAGTAAATTCGATTGTCCACCATGTCGAAGTCCAGGGCGCTGCAAAAGGACGAATCCATGATAAACGAGTCCCACGGGGAGGATTAGGGGGAGGACGGTACCTGAAGCTCCAGGAAATTAATTTATCAATTAATACACGCCCACTTCCGCAAAATGTGTCATAAACGAGACCCCTTGCTTTGAAACCCTTTTAAATACGAAGATCCTCACCTCGCATCCTTGACCCCGGTCACAGGAATAATGTTATCGTTGTTCGCGTTCTCGATACTGATGCGTCCGATGTTCTCCTTCCGCGCAAAGAGTAGAAAAGCGTCGGGGATGACGCAGGTCTTCTTGTCCTTGGTGAGCTCGTACCCTATCTGGCACGCGCAGACATACCGATCCCCAGGTCTATTAAGGCACAGGTGACTGCATCCTCCGTTGTCCTTGGCGCAGGGGTTGTTCCCACTGACCTTCCCCAGGTGAACAGCCTTCAGGCCCATGACATTAGGCACCTGGTCGACGATGACCTCCCTGTCTCCCCCGGTGAGTTTATGGGCCCGGTCGATGCTCCTCCTCTGCCAGTCGGTCCAGTACAAGAAATCCCCCAGGAGGCTGAGGCCGAACAGATGAGGGAGGTTGTCGGTGATGACCTCCCTGCGATCGGTGCCGTCCATGTTGCAGACCTCGATTTTATCGGTCTTGGCGTCGCACCAGTAGATCTTCCTCCTCTCGAGGTCTAGGGCGATGCCATTCGGCCAGATGATGTCCTTGGTGACGAGGAGGGTGCGCTCGCTGCCGTCCAGGTTGCTGCGCTCGATCTTCGGCTTCTTGTCGTTCCAGTCGGTCCAGAACATCCAGCCAAGTTCCGGGGCCAGGGCGATGGCCCTGGGTTCGATGAGGTCCTCGTTGACGAGGACCTTCCTGCTGGTGCCGTTCAGCCTGGCCACCTCAATGCGATCCGTCCCGGTGTCGGTCCAGTACATGTTCCTGGCGATCCAGTCGATGGCGATGCCGTCAGGGTTGCCCACCTCGGTGGTGACCACGTCTTCCTGGCCAGACCCGTCCAGGAAGGCCCTCCTGATGGCGCAGGCCTGGTCGTCGGTCCAGTACAACATCTCCTCGATGGGGTCGAAGTCTATCGCTATGGCGTGCTTGATCCCGGTCAGGGGCAGGACGAAGTTCGTGTAATCCGGCGAGTCCAGGGATATCCGGCATATCTCGTTCCTCTGGACGATGAGGAGGAGCTCCTCGGGCCCCTTGGCGCAGGTGAACCCGTCGATCAGCTTGACCCCCGTCGGACAGGCGCAGGTGTACCCGGGTGGCTTGGTACCAAGTAGGCACAAGTGGGAACAGTTCCCATTGTTGTGCCTGCACGCGTTGTCCCCGAAGGGCTGGCGCCTCGGGTCCCAGACCTCGATGTCCCCCGGAATGTACTCCCCGTGGAAGAGCTCCCTCGGATGCGAGGTGGTCGAGCGGACGTCGTGCGAGTGGATGCACCAAGTCTTCCAGTCGGTCCAGTAGAGCTTCTGCTCGAAGAAGGTGATGGCGAACGGGTAATCGAGGCCCTGGCTGACGACCGTCCTCCGGTTCTTCCCGTGGTAGTCCATCACGGCGATGAACTTGAGCCTCCCGTCCGCCCAGTAGACGAGCTCCGAGTCGTAGTCGACCGTCAGTCCGTTCGGCCAGAAGATGTCGTCCGAGACGATGACCTCCCTGGTCCCGGGGTCGCCGTTCATGCCCGCTCGCTCGATCTTCGGCACCTCGCCCCAGTCGGTCCAGAAGAGGATGCTGCGCATCGGGACCAGGGCGATCGCCCTCGGCTGGTAGATGTCCGTCCAGAAGAGGACCTTCCGGTACCTGCCGTCGATGCTCGTCACCTCGATCCGGTTCTTCTCCCCGTCGGTCCAGTAGAGCTTCCCCGTGTACCAGTCGCAGGCCAGCCCATCCGGGGAGATCAGGCTCGAGTTGACCACCGTCATCCTCTCCCCGGTGTAGGTCGCGTTCGACCGGACGCACTGGATCACCTCCAGGACGCTGTCCGACCAGCAGACCAGGCTTCTCTCGTAGTAGAAGTCCAGGGCGGCTCCCTCCGACAGGTCCCTGACGATCGTCGTCGCTTTGTTCGACCGGGAGACATTGGTCACCCTGATGTCCTTGTGGGTTGCGAATAGGAGGGTCGGCGAGGCTGCAAGCACATTATCCATGAACATCTCAAAAATAAATCTTAACAAAATTACTGGTCGGTCACCCGATGCGAATATCACCTAACGAGGGGAAGCTCCTACCATGATCGGAGAAAATGGTTAAAAAATAATAAATTCAGGTCGCAATCCCAAATCAAGCGGAATATTTTCCGAGCGTCTCCGCAGAGAAGAAACGCGCCTCGAGTCTGACTTCTGCACAGGAAGTGCTCTCCTCTTTTTCTTCTTCTTTTTTTCTTTCTCAGGGATCGAGACAGAGCCCACATTGCTCTCGACTGGCGGAGAAAAGTCCGGGAAGGGACGTGCAGTTATGGAGAAGTAAAGATTTAAATGCACGAAATGCATGAAATTGATAAGATTGATAAACGACCGTGTGCCATGAGATGTTATTTTTTAGCCACGGACCATGGCGACCATCTCTGGGCCGAGTTTTACCCCGGAAGCGGTCTCCTCTCTTTTTGACATTTTCAGGGATTTAGAGCCAACATTTCGGGCTCTCTCTTTGGGGATATCAATCGAGGAAAGTCCGGAGAGAGACTTGGAACTACCAAGGAGTGAAAGAATCTTGGCCAACTCGCGTTTACATTGCGACCCCACGTGTACGTGTAAGGAGGGCATACGTATGCACGCACCTCCCATTTTTTTTTAATGTGGAGGGTCGCTAATATTTATTCTGCAGCTTCGTTTACGTAGGTAAACGACCCGACGTCACGGCTGAATATATCTCGGACTTCCATTTCCCCGGGATGCACTTCTGCAAATGTGCAGTCGGAGTATTCGAGATAATTACCAAGAGAAGGGATTAAACGCGACCACGGTCTCGAAGAAATTAAATCGTGAAGGAAAATTGAGCGCGATCAGCTGTTCAATGTTGTGTGTTCAATGTAACAATGAAAATGAAGGGTAAAACTAATCGCAGGGTCGTCACCTCTCATATCGATTTTTTATACCTTCAAGTGTTTTACTCTTGTAACTAGGAAAATGGTAATGGTGCATCGTGGCCCTCAAAAAAAGAATTCAATCGTAACAATGAAAATAAAGTGCAAAACTAATCGCAGGGTCGTCACCTCTCATATAGATTTTTTATACCTTCGAGTGTTTTACTCTCGTAACTAGGAAAATAGTAATAACGGCGCATAGCTTAATCATAACCGATGTGCAGAATTTGACCCCGTGGCCCCGACTGTTATTACATTGTTCGTAGGATGGAGTGCGAGAGGTTTGCAGGCCGGGAGTTATGCATAGCGGAGGCAATATACTTTTTCTGGGCAGTCGGTCCCGGGATCCCCGTTTCTCGAGATTGCTTCGTTTAACTCCCGGCCACAATTTCCCTGCGGAACGATCGTCCGAGGGGAGCGAGGCGCGGCTATCCCTTTCGGGCGAAACGGGAGGAACGGGAGAGTTAAAATGGTCGCCCGCTCGTTACGGGGTAACTCGCGGATAACAAGAAACGGAAAGTTTTTTTTCTCTCTTTTTTTTTTCCCCCGACGCAGGAACCTGGCAGCAGCAGCTCGTACATGGAAACGCGATAAAACTTGCACCAAGTGCAAGAAACGCGCTCGCGGTTTAACGTTTAAGTATCTCGTCAGTGGCGCACTCGCGCGGCGGAATATGAAAATAAAGTGCGGAGGGCGTAACTCGAGGTAGATACACGTGCACCGAGGTGCAGATATCAGTTGAAAGAAATATATAATTATCCTAAATGACCCTCATTATCTTGTCGACGAAGAAAAATTTCACGTGGATTTAAGCGAACCTTACGTCACACTCAATCCGACGTTCCTTTGTATATAATCGCAGGATTTTATTTTCGATCAGGGCATAGAGTCGACTAATTTCCCTGTTTTTCATTTTTTCTTTTTCAAAATGTAACATCGAATCGGTGCCTATCGAGAATATTATAGATTATTTTCATGACAATGTATTGCCGATTTGGATATAAATTAGGAAAGATCAGCCTCGGCGAAGTTGAATGGAGCCTTCACTTGCATCGTCGAACGGCCGTCCTAAATATCCGATCGGCGAGTTTACTCGACATCAATTATCCGCATCCGGGCGTTTCGTCGGTCGCTTTTCGCTCGTCGTCTGTGTCTGACAGACGTCATCGGCCGTTTCCTGTCCATCACGTGAGTAGGCCGCGACAAGATATAGACCGAAGGCAGACCAGATTCCGGTGTTCTAGGAGAAACTTGACGCGACAACGAATCCGCCACCAAATAAACCCCCAAAATGCCAGGCGAGGATACACCGAGAAAAAAGTAATCGCGAAATATACGCCAGTCCCAACAAGCGACATTAAATACAACTATAAAAAGGGAGAATATTCGTTCTCGATGCAGGAGCGCGCGGGGAGGATCCAGGGGAAAGTGGAAACTCCCGGGCAGGATCCAGGGGAAAGTGGAACCTCGCGGGGTAAGGTATCGAAGGGACTCGTCGATTAATTCTAGATTCTCTCGAAGCATGCTTTGTGCCGGCATCGACAAGGCTCCATGGACGCCTTTTTCATCCCGCTCCTCCCATTTCACAAAGGCGCGGCTCCGTCTATTTCGGCCCGAAGAAAGGCGCGCCTCGCGGCACGGACTACAAGCGTAACGAGACGCGCCGCCGCGGCAAATTCTCTCCCGACGTTTCCGCGATCTGCAATCTCGACGCTAAACTAGAGAAGATACGTGAAAATGCTCGTTACGAACCGCAATATGCCGCTTCCTCGCCTCCTCTGCGCCAGGATCGCTAATCCTAACCTCCAATAATTTCGAATTTCGAATTTCCCTCTCAGGATTCCTACATTCGAGGCGTCGACTCGCGCAACTTAAACCGCAGTTTAAGGTGATGTGAAATTGTCATCGAAGAGGTTTCGTTAATAAAACTATTCTCCCACCTCGGTTTACCGAATAGTTTGAAACTCTACAACGTGAATAAGGAGACTCTAAGGAATGTCCTGAAACTCATGAACTTTCAAATCTTTTCCAATTTCTTTACAGGTATTTTAATAATATTTTACAGAAAATGAAATTTCCCGAGTTAAAGGACCTACCTTAGGGTCTCCATATTCACGTTTTAAAGTATGAAATGATTTGAGACACCCACTTCGTAGAAAAGTTTTACGAACAATTGAGCTTTCGGATGCCGCTTTCACGTCCCCTTAAATAGTTAAACCTGCCAGTTTAGCTAAACCGGCAGTTTTAAATAAACCGTCAGGTAATCGGTATCCGGTTAGCCTCTAAAAATCCATTAAAGAAGTATAACAACCCCATCTTTCATCGGGGCTCGCGTCTTCGCACCTCGGGCCCGCGCATGCGTCGACGGGCGCGCCTCGTTGGCCGTGATTGGCCGCCGAGTGGACGAAGAGACGAGGCGATGCGGGAGACAGGGAGTGGGAGAGAGAGGACCCGACCCCCCGGCGAACACCTGTAATGAGCTGCGCGCAAAAAAAGACGAGAACCGGGCCCGAGCATGGACCAAAAGGAAGAGCAAGAGGGGCGAGGCGCACACCTCCGAAGGCCGCCGCGGTGCATTAGGTAGCGCCCGCGGAATTCAAAGAAAGGGGATTTCCATTCCTCGCGTGCCTCGTCACCTGCGCCGCGAGATGCGCGCGCACGTGCCGCGGATAACCTGAGACAATGTGACGTTTCTCAAGGGGCCGTCAGAACCAATTGTCACTGATAATACAAATCATTGTGGTAACGATAGCGATAATAAAACGTGGCCAAAATCAATTACTCTCACGTGAGAATTATAATTTTAACATACGTGCTATCCAAAATACGGGAGGAATTCATCCTCCATCGATGAAATATTAAGTTAAAATCAATGAATAATCACTTGTCTCAAATAAATTGTCATAATTCCAAATACTGCATTCGGCTTATTGGAATTTATTCGAGGCATTATTCTTAGATGCCATTCAAAGAAATGTTTCTTCAAAGGGGAAAACGGCGTGATTTTTAAAAACGGCATGACGTCTTGACTACCGAGTGATGATTTAATTGAAATCATTTCAGGGGATAGGTCTGGATGGGTGTGACGACCTCGCAGGTGATACCCCGAGGGACGTGATTCCCGATCTCGGGAAATAATAAGCCAATCGAGCTCGCACGAGAACGCTGCACTTGGCCGCATAATGGCGGGTGTTTAACGCGCATGATAATGGCGGGAACGAGTACCCCCTCGTGGAGGCCCCCCGGTATCTAATCAAATTGCAAATCAGGGTGTTTGAAGAGCAGGGCGGCAATTTTAATAATCAACGCAGGGGGCGGAGGAACCGAATTGATAATCGAGCCCTCTTTTTCATCTCCGCAGAGTATGCCAATGGTTAAACATTGCAACATGCACCATCAGGGGAGCTCTAATTACACTTGAAATACGACAATTAATTTGAATCAATGAATCTATTATTTTTTTTTATCAGCGTAGCGGGTGTTTTACGCTGAATTAAATGATCGGATCGAAGGGGGCAATTGAGGTCGATCATAGTTCGGATATTCCCAGGAGACGTCCGAGGCTTCCTCGCAGGTCTGCGAACGATTGCAGGGCCTGGGGAGAGGTCGAGGAATGAAGAGAACCCGAAGAGAGGCCCCCTCGGAGAGTGGGCCTGGCCGTCTCGTTAGCGAACCTAACCTCCTTAGAGGGCCCTCCGGGGCAAGATGGGCCGTTCAGGCCCGGGACACCAGCCTGCCCCAGAGAACTGGTTCGGCCTTTGTTTCCACGCGGCTTCGCGGAAGGTAAGCACCCAGTGCTAGGGGATGAGAGCCAAATTAATCGAGACGTCGTTGACTGGTCAATTAGCGCCGTGAAACTCCTCAAGGAAATCTGCCTCCCCTCTAAGGATGTCGAATCACCGCTCGACATGAATTTATACAGCAAACGAATAGAAAACCAATATCAATAGTACTATATTCTTGATAAAAAAAAAAGTTTCGAAAAATACCTCAGATTAATTTGAAATCTCGGGTGCCTCTCCCAAGATCGTAAGAACGTCCATATT